CAGAGTTAGAACTAAGAAAAACGAATGCAGCCAAGATTAGATGAGAAAAGCACAAAAGAATCAGCATAGAAATAGAAAAAGCAATGAAAGAGGATTGGAGCAAATATAAAGAAAACTTGCAAAAAAGACTTAAAAATCAATGATACAAACATAAACCAATAAGTTTAGATAATAAGTAGGATATTATAGAAAAATGTATTATTCTAGCAGCTAACGAAAGTCTTTTAAGAAGGAAAAAAACATCTAAAATTTAGCACAGCAGCAGAGAAGATAAAGAAATGAGAACATTAAGGCTAGTGATTAGAGTATGCAACAAGGGCTATCGCAAAAGCAAGAAATAATATTTGCAAGAGAATAAAAAAGAAGAAATCATAGCTATACTAGAACAACTAGAAGATACAACTATCCTAGAGGCAAAGTCAAAGATAGATTTATTAAGTAGTACAGACCTGAAGAATTGGGCAAAGATCCTGCATAAAGAATGGTGACAAAAAGTTAAAAAATTGGAAGAAGCAGAAATTAGAAAAAACATAGAGGAAAGGTATGATCTAATTGTGTCCAACTAGTAGAAAATGCTAAATAGCCTACTCAACAAACCACATAGGCAAATTAAAATAGATAGAGTTATAAAAAGCTCAGAAGAGGAGACAGAGCTAATACATAAGCCAGAAGAAGTACTCGAAGAGGTGAGAGAACACTTTGAAAAGCAATTCCACAAAAGAAACACAATACAAGCAGAGATGCTACCACCAAAATGGAGAAACCAATATACTCCAAGAGAAGATATAGAAGAAATAAAGTTCAAAGACACAACAGAAAGAATCAGTCCTGCCAAGTGGGAACAGGCAATAGACCAAGTTAAGACCAAGTTAGCCCCAGGAACTTCTGGTATTACATACTCTTTGATAAGAAGAGTAAGCACAAGCACAAGACAGACTTTTATAAACTTTGCATCAAGATGTTTTAGAAAAGGCAGTATGCCAAAAAAGTGGAAGTTAGGGATACTCTACCTTATACCCAAAACAGAAGATTGGTACTTTAATCTAAACAATATGCAGCCAATCCTTTTACTTAAAGCTTTTAGAAAAATGATAGTCAGAGTTCTAACAAACTAACAAAGATCTTATGTGAAAAAGAAGTACTAAAAGGCAAAAACTTCGCAGGCCTCATAGGTGAAGGTACTATAACACTAGTTCAACTAATAAATTGTATCATAGAAAAGACGAAAGAGAAAAAAAAGAAGCTCTAGCTGCTGTTTCAGGATATGAAAAAAGACTTTCACTTGGTAGGACTAGAAATGCTTAATTTAGCACTACACAGAATCAAAATTTTACAATTAACAATCAACTTCATCATGAACCTGTTTGAGAATCAGGAAATAGAAGTTTTAACAAGCCTGGAAATAACAGAAAGGTTTATTGCAAAAGACAGCATTGATCAAGGAGAAGCAATCTCACCATTGGTTTGGAGAAACTTTTATGATCCGCTTCTAACAGAAATACAAAAGAAAGAAAAGTGAGAGTACAATTTAGAAGTTAGATAGCCAAAAAGTTTGAATAAGGTAGAGACCTAATTACAAAATATGCATATACCAGTCATAGTATATGCAGACGACACTACCTTCATCGTAACGAGTAAAGAGGAGTTGAAGGAAATTATAGAAATAGCACAAGATTTCTATAAAATAAATGATATTGAGATTAATAGCAAAAAGTCCAAGCTCCTAATAGTAGGAGGAAAAAAGACAAAAGAACCTAGATATATAGAGATGGGAGCAATATATAATAAAGTTACAGAAAGGAAAACGAATAAAGTAACAAGATTCTTAGGCATTTGTCTATCTAAAAAGATCAATTATTCATACATAATAAATATCGCCAAAAAAGAGATACAGGCCATAATTAAAGCAATATACAAAAAAAGCACAACTCTTGTGCAGCTGATCTACATAAACAACAGAGTACTTATCTCAAGGCTAGAATACAGAATGCAGCACTGTATAATCTCAAGAGACGAATGCGACAGATTACAAAGCCCGCTGCTCAAAGTAATCAAAAACAAGTTAGATTTAGCAACCACAATAGCGAACGCAATTATGATACATAGAAATATTGTAGGGCTTAGAACAATATAGCAGAATCAAATAGTACACCATATAACAGAGCTAAGAAAAAGATTAAATAGCAACAATGAAATGGGCAAGGCAACATGGATCAGAATGCAGCAAGCCCAAATTGATTGCAAAAGTACAAGATGCATAACAAAATTAAGTACTGAAAGACTTAAAAAAATTATATCTAAACAAAATCTAATATACAAAATTATAGTTGTAGCCAAAGAAATGAATCTAAATATAAGATCAAGAGAAAAAGAAAATAATCTAAAACTAGTAGAGTTAGGCCTGGAGATAGTAAATCTACTAGATGACAAAGAGTTAAGAAAATTTGCAAAGTAAAAGAAATGGGTATTATAGTACTTGAGCAAGTATTAGATAGAGAAGAGTTAAACTTGCTAATATGGAGCCAAATCAAAAAGTGTAAAAAAAAAAAAATAGCCAGAAAGATTCCAAACTGGTTTAAAAAAATCGAAGAAAAGGCTTTTGAGAATACAAACAAGAGAAAAGTCAAGCCAGATCTAAGAGCAAAAACACACAATCATCTATCACCCCAGGTAAACCTAGTACCAATAAGTGACGGCAGAAGAAGAAAGAAGTGGGTCCTTATTAGAACCAATAACATGACAGAGATAGGAAGGATAGTAGAAAAAAGAGAAAAAAAAACAGTAATAACTGAGCATTGGTTGGCTGCTCTAGATTCTCAAGAGAACCTACTTATACTCGACAGGTACAAAGGGTGCAACATAAATATAGCAAGAAAAAATTGTATAGATACTACTTGTACAAAGAGAAGTTAGAAAAGTGATATGGTAGAAATTAGCCCAAGATTCATCCAGAAGCTGTTAAGCCAAGGGAAGAGACAAAAGCTATGTGTTCCACTAAGCTGCTTCACAGGTATACTTCTACAAGCAGAGCTATTATCAAACAGAGAAGAGAGATAACAAGAGCTACAATTAAAAAAAATCATAATATACACACTAGAAGAAAAAATAATAGACCAAGCCATCGAAAATACACAAGCTACAGCAACATTAAAAGAAGTAACAACAAAACTAAGAGAGAAAACAAAGATTACATTCTACACAGACGGGTCTTTGCTTAATCCAAAAGAGGAACCTTGTGATATGGTTAATAGCTATTCAACAATCAGTAGAATCTAGAAATCTATAATCTTGGTCAGACTATCTAGAATAAGAGCTTTGGCGAAATAAACCTAAAATATCAGAAGAACTGAAAACCCATTTGGCAAGTTCTGAGTTAGGAGGTAGTGTGATCTTTGATAGTACTACAGGAGGACTGAATTTGGAAATGGAAACTAAGATCGAAGAACCAAGTAACCAGGTCTTTAAGTGGGGGATATACTAGCCAAACTGCCAGGCTACCAAAACTGGAGAAAAAGAACATGTGCTTTGGAAGTATATACCAAGAGAAGAAAGACTATATAGACACCTAAAATCTAAGTAAACCAACCCTTCCAGCTTGCTGGCTGGAAGTAAGGGAGAGACCGATAAAGAATCCAAAAACGAAGGAAAGTTCGAATGTGAGTGCTGGGGTTGTACAAACCCAAATACAAGGGCAGAAGTATGTAACAACTACTAAAATAAAAAGATTGTGGTTTGAGATACAGATCGGGTTATAGCAGTATTCTAAAAGATAGCTTGAGACATGAATCTAGTAGCGACAACACAACAGGTACTAGATTAGGAAGAAGTTACTGAACATGCAGATAAATACATATGTGAGATATATATCACTCTGTTAGGTTTATTTTGAGGATAAATTAGTTCTAGGTAGGGTGTAAAATCTATAGGTATTACAAAATCTAGCATATAAATAGTAAGTTATACTTTAGTTAGATAAGAAATAATGAACTGGTTGTGACCAGAGAGTTTAAATAGATAATCTCCTAGTTGGGTTGCAGATATAGCAGCTAGTGTGAAACCTTGAGCAAACTACTTAAATAGGCAACCAAAAGTTGCAAGTATGGCTAGTTATACTCTTACTTGTAAAAGCCAAAGAGCTTAAATAAATAATCTTCTAATTAAATTGCAGGTATGGTAGCTAGTGTAGAACTCAGGCAAACTACTTAAATAAACAAACAAAAGTTGTACGTATGGCTAGTTGTACTCTTATCATAATTGTAAATGTTGTTAATTATCTAATAAAAAGCCTCTAGCCATAGAGATCACCTTAATACCAAAAAAAAAAATAATAATTTGATTGGTTGATGATCATATTTTTAATCACATTTTGATTGACATATCACACAAATATCACATTTATTGATTTGATTAGTTAATTATCATGTTTTGATCATTATAAGTGACAAAATCAAATTTTTGTGACATACTAAATGGAATTTTGACAGAGTATAGAATCGTTTTACTGTTACGTGATAGTCAAAAAACAAACATTGTCAAATTTATAAAACTTTGTTTATATTTGGGTTTGGGTTTAAGAGAATTAAAAAGAGTAGGTATATAGTAAAATTGCATGAGGAATTTTTTTTGTTAGAGCTCCAAATATAGTTTACTAGTCTAAATTTCGAGATGAGCGCGATTTTTGCAAAGTAAACGTTTGTTTTGAAATTTTTTACGTTACACCTGATCCTGAATTTTAATTGGCTGATAGACGTCGGAAAATCATGTGACAGTGAAATCGATCCTACGCCCTTGCGTTGTTTACTGAATGGAGTCAAATCCGCCCATATGACCAATCACGAGAAAGTTATCCTATATTGCGGTAGCTATGTATAATGTCGAACACTCGAGTAACCCGCGGGTATACTTGCCGGTTAACCGGGTAACGTTTTTTTGACCGAGTACAATCACTACCCACTAAACTTTCCTTATATAACATAAATGCGGATAATTAAAAAATCGCGATGTTAACCACTGATTGTTCCTCACCTGAAGTAAAAAGCAAATACTTTAAAACAGATATTAATCATGACGTGACCGCGTTTCAAGGCAATGTGTCTGGAACTATATTAGTTACTGAAGCCTTTGCTAATGAAAATTCTATTCTCAAAAATACCTTCTCTGTTAAGCAAAAAGCATTGACCCTCGAGGAAAGACGCTTAAAGAAGAAACGGATGCTTGCGTTAAGTCCGAAAAAAACTGCTGATAAAAATTCATATTCTCACCTATCGGACTGTTTAGTGCAAAGTCAAATTAGCGACGTGTTGGCACCAGCAATCACTATTATTGATTCGAATAATGTAGAAAACACAACGCAATATGCCTCAGAGCAAGTTGACGTGAATAAAGTAATATCCAGTGCCACTAGCCTGGATTCTCGACTTGTGATATCGAATTCATCTAATTCAGATTATTCTCATGAAAAGAACAATCTACCACC